ACTGGTTGGAACCTCGAAATAGGTATAAATATGCACACTCAAGGATTGCAAATGGGTAGCATGTTCCTCGTGTTGAGTGAGGTAAATTTCTTCACTGATTTCAGAGTAATGAAGATCTGTCTTGCATTTCACATATTCATCCATTACGCCTGCAGTTGTAATGATAATTTCCAGATGAGTGCAGGAGATTAGATTACTCTCATTGGTAGTGTTTTGTCTTTGCTGATGTCAGTTAATCATCTTCATCGCCTCTGTCCTCTCTATATTCGCTTGAAGTACGTTACATTAGCGGAAAACAAAACGAATAACTTGACACTTCAAATATTAGCGAAAAGTATTCTCTCAGGAAGAGACTAATTTCGGCCAAAATTGGTTTTCACTCACTCAATATTTCTAAATTGAGTCATACTCCACGTATAGCTGTAAAGTTTCAAAAGTACTGTTTACAAACACTTATTCCCATTACATTATTCGTATTGTGGAGTACTTATGAGAATGTCTGAATGTGATGAAACAGAAGATTTAAAATAAGTTCCACTAAAACGACCATCTCAGAATGAATCGAAGCAAATGTCATGAGGTTGTGATAAGTGTTGGTTTGGACGCGTTCGATAAATTTTAAGATTGACAAAGAATTTACTTCAGTAGGGAGACCGTTACAAACGAGATGTCTTCCTGATTTCGATCCCTGTCGGAGTTATGCGTGTGTCCTGATGAATGGTTTCAAGCAGGCTTCCAATAATCCCTGCTCTCCGATGGTTCGCTAGGTGAAGTCTGTTTTTTGATCAAGCCTGAGGTAAATTTAAAATAAATACTGTGCATTCGGTGATTATTTTATTCAATTATAGTAATAATCTGCTTTATTCCAAAAACAGTAATTATAATATAGAATGGAATTCACAGCATTTGTCACAATATTGCATCTGATTTACTCAAAATATAAATTAAATTAAAATTAAATTAAACAGAGGAATTTGTCCACATTTAAGGTATAAAGTCAAAAATATTCGAAGAACAAAATGAGAATATTAAAAATGGCAAAAATAATAACAGTGAGTTTGTTTCAAACAGTATTGTTGATTCAGTTTGGAAATTTTAGCATGTTATAGATTATTGAATCTAATGTTCTGTTGGTATAGTATAGTGAGGGGAAATACAAATTTAACAGTGATAACACAGCTTAAATGATGTTCACAATTATGGAAAAATAGACAAATAAAAACAAAAATTTGAGAGGATTATAAATATAAGAAATACAGTAACAATAAAGCCTGATGTTATAAAGGTGGAGGAAATGGTTTATTTATTAGTGCAATGAAGGTTAGTTAGTTTATGCCCAACACTATTTTCATCACATGCAATACGTGCCAAATATGGTATACTGGAATTTCTCTACTTAGACATGTGCGCATAAAAACTTCTGAAAAGACTTCTTGTTTTACCTGATGAGACACAAGGTTGGAGCTGCGGATAAAGTGGATACTCACAGTCTGACAAAATTCCTTTAGTAAATTTGTTGCATGAAATCAAGTGCCTATCAATGACGATTTCAACGATACGGCTACGAGTTTACTCTTCGACGGCGGCAGTCATTGCTTATTTTTATAGTGATCGATGTTAGTAAAACACTAAGAATGTTAAGGAACCAACGTTATCAATGAATATTCACGCTTTTTGCTTCAAACATTTCCCTCTTGTCTCTTCCAGAATTGTACACCCTAAGCTCTGTTGTTATATGACATTCATTCCATGTTAAGCATCTGTGGTCTTCGCTCAGCAAACTAACAAATTAGTTTACTCTTTTCGTGGATTGCGTGTATTCCCACACTTCACAATATGTATATTGATTCTGACTGGTGGTTAACCCTTTCAGCTTATCTTCGATCATAGTGATGCCAAGGTAATGCATTTCTGACTCTGCATTTCACATATTCATCCATTACGCCTGCAGTTTTAATGATAATTTCCAGATGAGTGCAGGAGATTAGATTTCAGTAACAAAATAGAGAATGAATTAACCAAACGTTTGAAGAAACTAAGGGAGGAGCAGATAATTTCTGAAAGTTTATGTGAAGAAATCAGACCAACGGACACGTATACGCCTACCTAAAGTGCATAAACCAGGGGTACCGTTAACACCAATACTTCATATGCAAAATTCGCCCTACCATGCTCTAGCTAGATGGTTAGTAAATATTCTCAAACCTTTGCATGAGAAGATAGTGAAATATAGCGTCAAATATGTATTTGAATTCGTAGACAAAATAAAAGATATTAATATCAAGGACAAAACCATGATATCTCTGGACATATCATCGTTATTCACAAATGTACCTCTAATAGAAACAGTTAATTATATATGTGAACAAGTGGACAAGCAGTCGATAAACATTGGAATCCATATTGAAATCCTAAAAGAATTGATATTAAGATGTACCATGAATGTAAACTTCAAATTTGATGGCACGCTTTACAGGCAAGTGAACAGGGTGGCGATGGGCTCCCCATTGGGTCCCATCCTGGCTGATTTTTTTCTAAGTAAGCTAGAAAATGGACCTCTGAACAACCTTATCAGTAAGCTCTCATTTTATTGCCGATATATGGATGATACCTTTATTCTTTGTGATAATGGATCTGATAGGAATACAATAATTACTGAATTCAATGAAGTACATTCGGCAATGAAATTCACATGCGGAAAGGAATCCCAAAACGAAATTGTCTTCCTGGATGTCCTACTTACAAGAAAACCAGACAGTAGCATAAAAAGAAATTTGCATAGAAAAAGCACTTGGACAGGACAATATACACACTTTCACAGCTTCGTTCCTATCAATTACAAAAGAAATTTAGTGAAGACTTTCAGCCACAGAGTTAGAGCTATATGCTCAGAGGAAGTAATTGAAGATGAATTAAGCATTGTATATGATACTTTGATCAAAAATGGTTATCCTGACAAATTTATCAAGAAACACATGACAAAGAAAGCGGAAAAGAACTACTCACTGTCTGTAAACAAGAAGCCTTTATATGTACGACTACAACTCATGGGCGATATACCAAGCGAGATAATTAAGAAGAAATTAAGAAAATCAGTTCAAAGAACTTTTAGTGCTGGCGAACTGCATGTATCATTCTCTACACGACCGATGGTGCTACCTCGACTGAAAGATGCAGTACCTAGACTAGCCAATTCAAATTGTATCTATCAATTCAACCGCGCTTGTGGAGCGACTCATATTGGCCGTTGCTCTAGGAACTTGATTTTTGTGCTCCAGAACATATGCCACTATGGCTAAGCAAAGGTGTAGCTAAAACTATTAACAGCTCGATATTAGACCATCTGGTGCAAACCGGTCACAAAGCCAGCGTAGACGAATCCTTCTCTGTAATATACTGGGTACCTAACAAACTACCAAAATCGTCGAAGCACCGCTTACTCCAAACAGCAGAGGCTACTGCGATTCGCCTCAAACAACCAGTGCTGTGTGTTCAAAAGAAGCATGTCCAGCCCCTACTACTACCCTGGACCTCAGTAGAAACTATAAACTCATGAATTTGTACTATGATCTTTCATAATTCTTCTGACATTCAGCTTATTTGATGTTGATGCTGTTCAGCTGTAATCTTTCAATATTATTGATTCGATGTTATTTAAACATTAAAGTCGTTCATAAGACTAATTCATTCATTCATTATAATGCATATATATTTGTAGAACCTGACGATGAGTTTATCGAAAAGAGTACTCTTTGTTCCGTGTCCATTCTTTTGAAGATAGTGCATATTCAAATCTGTTCACAACTGTTCTCTGACTGTCAATGAATTGTTACTGTCTTATTTCGTATACGACGACATTGTTGTGATTGTTGAAGAGGAAAAATATCAGATGAGAACGCATGACAATAAATGAAGAATATCTGAAAGCTTGATATTCACACTTTCTAACAATCAATGACATCATATTCAAAATGCCTTCAAGAGTGTTGTTTTCGGCAAACACAGTTTCATTGCAGTCCTGAACATGCAGTAGATTAGGTTTTAAATACTATTTCGATGAAAGCCAATGGCCACTTCTCCCATGCTAACCCATTTGAAATTCTGTTGTGAATAGGTCGCTTGCTTTTCCGTTTTACAAGGCATCACCGTGGTTATTCACCATTTATTTCAGATGAAAATTATAGTGAATTTACTGCACGACATCACCTACATTGAATCAATATTCGAATTAGTCGTGGAGATGTGGCTCATGGGCCTAAATACTCCACTTGCAGCTAGTGGTTCCGATAATCGGATCACGCTTCACCTACTTCAGTTTGGGCAGTGGGCATTCAGTGTGTATTATTCAAGCCTACCCAAACAGGAGTTCGTCAAGTGTCTCTGCTTTTGTGTGGCTACTATTCTCAATGCTTCATTTTGATACTGTGTGCCACTGGGCTGTTAAAGACAAGATGTTATTTTACTATCTCGACTTTCGTTCGGGGAATTCGAGATTGTGTCGTCGAGTGGCTACTGTCCCTTGAACTGTGTGTTCGAAGTGTATTTTGTTCTGTTCGGTCCTTCGAAACACACCTGTGTTCCTATTTTTTCAGGAGTGTTCTTCTCAACTCTCAGGTGTTCCACAGTGACACTGTGCAGAGGAACTCAGTGAATCGTGTGAATAGTATTGACTTGGTTATGTTGATCGGTTGCTGGCAATAAAATCAAGTTACTAATGTTCTGGTCGTTAATTCCACTTCGCACTCTGAAAGTCAAATAAACAAATCGTTCACAGCACTACCAATGTCTCGCCACTATAATGCATCTTCTCTTCCTCAGAGGCTTTGCATAGTGTTCTTTCTATCACAGTGAATGCAGCCAGTTTTAATCACTGACTTAATCACTGATTCCGGCCGAAAGAATGACTCTTTCGCAAAATAATGTTTCTTTGACTGAGAGATAGATGATTAACAAAAAGTGTGCTGGACACAATTACAAATTTCTTTTCAATTTAGCACAGTTTATACATTTCTCAAGAGTTGAACCGTAGAGGTGTCTCTGGAAACTGTTCTCATCACAGACCTTCCGTATTTATTGGTTTCCAGTGCGATGACTAGCGTGTATAATATGCATGTGGCGACCATAACCCACTCAGCCATAGCACAGTAAACGAATTCCCAGTATCCCTGTTCAAATAGAAAGAATTGAGAGGTTAGTCTTTCATTCATGGCAGTTCAATTCAAAATAACGCAAGTAATACGGAGGATGACTGAATCCCTTCTTGAAATAATCCCATTCAATTCGCTACCTGTATACTGGGTTTCTTCACCTGAATATCCAGCTAGATAAACGCTCATGACATCATTCAATTTTGATGACGACTTATCCGCCTAATCAAGTTCTCATGAAATCCGGGAAATATTGTTCAAACAATGTGGCCTGATTACCCAATTTACTCTTAAGGAATTAATTCACACAGTTGACACGTAACAGCTGACTCTGACTCGAAAATGCAAACAGGGATTCAAAAGATAGCGACATGGAGCGCATTTCAATTGTGTTCACATAGAATCAGGTAAACTGACATTGAGTAATGGCGAATAGGCAAATTAGCTAGTTGGTGAGATGGCAGTCAACCACTGTCGGAGGTCAACTTTGGTGAGTGTTGTAAATAAATTATCAGTCATTATTATCGCCATCACTTCTTAGCTCTTCATGTATTATACGTGCTCTTCTATTTACGGAAGGGATTGCACTGACATTCTGATCTTCGTATTCACTGTGTACTTACAATTTTTTATGTTGTAACTATTCAAGCTGCATTTTGAGCATATGTCATATGCATCTAAAATGTTCCTTTCTCAATGAATGATCAAGGATGATTTCTAAAGAAAAATATATATATATATATACTTACACCATCTGTCGGTAGCATTCGATAAATGTTTAGTGTATCCAGTAAAGGAAGACCAGCATGGTTGAAATAAGCGACTGAAAAAGTGAGAAGGCAACAGATTATATGGTTGGATAAGATATCTGATGTAGTCTGGATCAAAAAAACGTATAATTGTAAAGAGTTATTCAAAATTATGGAGCCACAAACAAACTGCTGCCCAATTATATACAAATAATTTTCTACGAATCATGGTTGAGACAAAACTGCCATGCGGTGAAATTCAACCGCTTACAATTAAAATTGAAATTAATACAACTGAGGCTGCCAACCTGTGAATACATTCACGGCTGTCCATCAAACTAATAAATTAAAACCACTTCAAGGAGGGGACCAAGCACTAGAACATTCTGAGCACAACAAATTCTCAGTCAATGTTCACAAGACTTTTGAAGTACCTGCAGTCGACACTTTCATCTTCCGAATGATCAGCTGCGAGATGAAACTGCCACATAGACATCCTGAAATTCTCTCTACTTAGTCATATTGAACTATTCGACAATCAGTCTGTGCCTGTCATCGACAAACTGACAGAGGGAGAAATCACAATTCCTCAACTCATGGGTTCATTCTAGCAATAGAATAACCATCTTTCACTCACATCCGTCATTTTCGCTTGATATATTTACTTAATGCGTCCTAGTATAGGAATCCAAAACTGTGTGTATGCATTACAGGACTCAGCCACACTTCCCTGCATTACCCACCAAATGTCAAGTGAGTGTATTTTTACTCACACAACTTTGATATTTACTTGCCAGTAGTTTCCACAAAAATCAACACATTTGCATACTTTAGAATTCGCCAATTCACAGAATGGTAAAGTTGCGTACTACTGAAACAGCATATAGTATGTTATGTGAAATGTACATCTATGTAATTTCTACCACTCATACACTGTTGTGCACTGTCGTATTACTTGGGATAAACTCTTAAACACTACTCATCAATCATGAGCTGCATACTATAATCAATTTGATGAAATAAGCATGGAAACTTACACGCTATAGCACTGAGTAGCATTTTCATGGTCAGTATGAATCGAATACACCAGAACCAACGAGGATCTTCGAAATACTTGAACAACAAACAACCACCCAACATAGCTGACAGACCATGACAGAAGAAGTTGCAAACAGCCGTTAGGTGGTGATACACATTATATTTCTCCACCTATGGATCAAATACGAAGGTGAAGTTAAGAGAAATAAAATTCACACCACTTAAGTTCATTTCGCATTCATATGTTGATAAGCAGTGATCTTTTCTGCAAGCAAGATTGTGTGAGTGAGATGCTGTCAATTACGAATCACGGAGAGTAATTTTGAAAATTTCTCCGGCTATGACTTCCACCACCTACTGAATTAAACATTTAACAACATGTGGATAAATTACTTTGACATGCTTATTGGAAGCGATGAATATCCATATGCAGAGATTATCACATGAAAATTCTATGCACGGGAGATGAAAATAATCAGAATACGACTTCAAACACGTCTAGTTACATTCACACTTATGAAGTGGACTCAGAAAATCACGGTTCACACATGACGTCGCTTTCCAATCAGTATGAGGTATTGCACGAATACACGATCAGAATTGAAACCTTTCAGGGAAAGGGAGTCTGATGAAAGATTGTTTGCAGCCTCTCATGACACAAATTATCAATACACCAGTTCAACGTCACTTGCACAGTCAAATTCAGGAATTAACAAATGGTGTTGTGAGTTATCAGAGACGACCAACGCCAGCCAATACTACCTTTTACTGAAATCGAGATGACCTACACATCACGCACATCTCAACTTTACTCATATAAGTACAACCCGAACGGCCGAATCTTTTTTCAAGTCACCTGCATTCTGACCAGCGACGTGGCAAACATTCTCTCCACAGGTTTAATATGCAACATGGATACGGAATTTTACTCAATTTCACAAAATCCCTTCGAAATCTTGCATGGGTTCCATTCACTCCATGAGTTCGTTGGCATTCAGTTTATTCAATTTTAACAGTAAAGAGAAACTCACATCAAAAATGGACAGACCAGTTAAACACAACCCAGATAAAGTCATTAGAAGCCGTATGAATGAGTTGACGAGGTGGGGGATCAACGATTTAGACATATTCGATATTTTTGTTTTAACTATGCGAAACCAGAACCAATTGCCCGCAGTATCTAAAATTGTACAACACAATATGTGAGACAACAATCACTATATGTAAATGAATATATATGCATAAATGCATATATATGTACGTACATAACTGTGTTATCATAGGAACGTTTTAATGCAAACATAAATTATCTGTCGATGACGAATCTACCTGACGTAAGTGAATCCATCGATTTCTCATTTTTCACACTGATGAAATACCATATTCGTATACAGTTAAGTTCGACTATCTGAAACCTTGTCTCGGTCCCTGTAACTCAAGTGTTGTGGTAGCCGGCTAATGATCCTGAGGCTCTCGTTTTAAATTCTACTGAAAACCAGATTCCTCTAAATGACTCATTCTATATTAAGATCATTATCTCTTTCAAATGCAATTCACCTTAGTTAAGAGGAACGTCGAGCTGAAACGTGGATGTGATCTGGAAATGCAGATGTTTTCAAATCATTGTCCATCGAACTACATCTAAACTAAACGAAACTGAAATATTCGCAGGTGAAACGTAATACTCTTCACACCGTGTTGTTGACTTTGTTTTATCTGTCAAGTGGTGACTGAATGGTTATGGTGTGCGTGTGAGCTCACTTTCTTTGTTCATCTAAGTGGCTATGCACATTGAGCAAATAGCCTAGTGAGGTGGAAGTAGTTTTAATCATGACCTTAAAACTACTATCGATAATTCAGCTGTGTAATCCACCAATTCAATGCATGAAGATGACAATGTACGTTTGAGAATCTTATTCTGTTGAAGTCATGAAAGCCTGTTGAGAAATATGCTTTCAATATGCAGTCGTCCATGCCTGAAGTGATCTGTTCATCAAAGTGTTCATGAGAGAATATTTTGTTGATTGAATATTAACATTTATTCATGAAGTCTCATCAAAATACATAACTTACTAAATATTGAGTAGGTTGTCATCAATAGGAAGAAGCCATACTTTTCTGGAGGGTAAACTCCAAAATAGCTGAAATTTTGGAAGAATTCTGAGAATTACTTCTATGATTATGTGTCATGTTTGCAATTTTTATAGCTTTACCTGACTGTTTACCATGTCTATTTAGAATCGTTTATTCAAGCACACAATATGACGTTTTTCAGGAAAGTGTCATCATTTGAAACTGACGAAAATCCATGAGTCACTAAAACTATCTAGGACTTAGTGAACAACATCAAATCGACGAATGAGGTATAAATGTCCTATTTTGTTCAGGACATTCATATCCCAATTCAGCCTGATGATTACTTGCCGTTAGATTATACAGTTAGCAAAACCAGAGGCCCTCCTGAATCAGCAGTTTGAAATTTAAAGGCCCACTGTTCTTCGATTCTCAATGGAAGCAGGGCGATTACATTATTTGTATGAAGACATGAATGAGAAGAAATGTGCTTCTGACTTCCAGCACTAAACAGAGTCCAGGAAGAAAATACTCAAACGTCAGGTGGAATATACGGCATTTATGGTTACTATTCATACTCGTTTTTACTCTTTCAGCTCTATTCACCCTACATCCCTTGTTGGAAATTGATTTTTATTAAATTCTGATTTGTTTGTCAGACTGCCATAATGCTACAGACTGTTGATTTACAGGATTATTTGCAGAAAATCATGCCAACCAGTATTGCTTGCTGGAAAGATCAAGGTGACCCAAACACCGAACAATCAACTGTCTCGTTTAGTCTCAACATCATCAACAGTGTATTGAGATCTCAATTTTAGTATCAAGCAGATTACATATCCCGACCCAATTCTATCGTGCTTACAAATTAAACTGCACCAACAATTCACCATGATGTGTTTAATTTGCAAATCAACGGATTCCACCTCATGTTGGTAAGCCCATCTCAGATATTTCATGGATACTGATAGAATGGATGATAACTGAATTACTAATCGCACTGGTAATAATCGTTAGTACTATCAGTGAAGTGATATTGTGGATAATAAGTATGTCTTGCAACCTATTCTTAAAAGTACTCATTTCGTAATCAGATAGACCCTAGTCTGAATCCCACGTATTTCTTCTTCAATCATTCCCTAGGAGAATCGAATCTGTCAATGCATTGTCTCATTAAATAATGTGTGATTATATTCTATGACTGTGGCTGGAATACTCACCTGATGAATGGGAAGAAAGCATTGATATGTTCTTCGTATACGGCCACTGAATATCTGTGAAGATACAAAGAATGATATGCCTTTGTTATTACTATCTTTTAAAACCATTAGATAAGATGTATTAGACTTGAATTCCGCCTTCGTGTTGCAAAAAATGTCAAGATTACATAACTGGTAAACTTCCTTGTGTTATATGGTTACAATGAAATCAGTGTTAATGAGGTTTGTCAGTGGTGTAGTTTTATTCTAAGAAACAGAAATATGCAGCCTTATGGCAGATTTACAAATTGATTATTGAGTCCTCGTATTAATGGTTTTTGATTCCTACTTTATTCCTAAAGCCAGCCTGTTCCTTCAGAACACTTTTTATTGAAACGCGAACGTGTTATTTATGAATGAGCACTAGTTCTAACCGACCCACTCTATGTACGACCTACAACTGCTATCTTTAGATGGTTAGTGATGGGATCTGCAATATTTCAGTGGCAAAACCAGCTTTTCTGGTTAAGATGTGTGCATCCTGAATTCTCAGTGTAGCGAACAAGTTTGCTGAATAGTATTCATATTGTAAAACAATGCACTTTGTTCTATTTCGTGGTTAAATAGAATGATGACTGGAGTAGATAAACCTCCACAGGTTCTATGGAGTCTTCATAGGTCCTAGATAAACAGCATGATTTACTTCAATCCTGAACACATATTGATGCCATTTAGAGAACTATTGAGAACCATGGAGTACTAGACAGCCGTTTCGTCCTGGTTGGTGTTTTACCATCCTACAATGTCACATCATATATGTGTTACTGATTAAAAACACTTCAGTACTGATTGCTTCCTCACTTACAAGTATACAATTTCTGGAACCTAGGAGTGTAGCGCTCTGTGTGATGGTGATGGTATCTGGGAGCAACCTTTGAGACATATACGAAAGACAGGTGAGCAAAAGTACATAAAATGGAAGGGTGTATGCTTCCTACTTTAAATAGCTTCTCATTTTTTCTTTCCATATTTAGTAATATCATTATAACTCTACCCTGTTTACACATGGTTTTATAAGTTTTCTGTTAACACAAATTAGTCTGTTCAGTGTCCTTCATACGAAGTGTTAAAATCTATTCTTAACATCTGATATAAAACCTAAGACTAAAGATCACTTACAAGATGGGAAGTCCAGTGAGTGCGATAAAAAGTGCAATTAGAGAAAACCGAAATGGATTGTTCTTTCTCCGACAAAGTATCATTGGTGATGAAGAGCCAGTTACAGAGTTAGGTTGGAAATTCTATAAAAGAAAAAAATGTCTGGTAAAGAAATCAGAATGCTAAGGGAAGTAAACAAACGAATTGCTGTCATATACACATCAATGTGTGACATTCTCACATATTCATTTTCCTCAGCATCAAAACATTTTAAGAAGAGAGAAGTTTTGATTATTTTGTATTTGGGTTTTAACAAGATACAAATATTCTGTCATCGCAATTCAACGAAGCGGAAGTTTTCGAATGTTTCATGAGTATCTGAGAAACCGTGTGTAAATTGGTCATATGATTACATATGTCAATCCGAAACGACGCAAGACAGACGTAGGTGAGTTTCTATGATAACAACCGTTGTAATCAGATTACACGTATTCTCCTGGACATCATTCTAAACAAATTATTCAACAAATATAATCCCCACAAAATCTAATTCCTGAGAATTATCCAAACATTAAAATCGAAGGACAACATTAAATGAGTGTTACTCTACATTTTGAAGTAATTCAGTTTTGAAGTATTTCGCTGCTTAAAAGGAAAATAATCAACAACTGTGTTGACAATATTAATTATTTCGCACAATTTCTGCAGACAATCGAATAGGAGATATTCGAAGAAAAAATCCTCATCTCCTCTGAAATCATCCAATTCACTTTGTTAACGTTTAACTAAATAAATACGAATTGATGAAGGATATAGTTTTGTACTTAGTAAACAATAAGTGGAATCGAATAAACTATACAGGGATACAATTTGCATTGCGTGGTCGAATTTGAATGCAGTCATCGAAAACATGTGAAGCGTATGTCTAACGAAGTACAAAATATGTGAGTCAAATGTCATTCTTTAACAACTTGATCAATCAGTAAAGCACACAATTTCCAATATGGTAAAATACATTAGGAGCGGGAAAGATGCTGACTGGCTGATACGTAGACTATATCTCCATAATTGGTTGAGAAAAATTCGCGATTCAGTTCGACATACCTTGATGAAATGCCATGATCTCCAATCTATATAAGATGGTGTCATCATACTACATACCTTGTCATTTCAGAATGGTTTACATTATGGGTTCCATTTCAAAGTAATCCATTCTGACCGCCGGATACTTTTCATATGAAATGAAATATGTAATTCAAGAAATAGTAAAGCCACAAAGAGTTTATCTAAATGTACCTTTTTAAATTTCGATGGATGTAGACATAAATACTTAATGAATAATTTTGCAAGCATGATTAGTTATTGATTCATGTTTGTCATGCGTGAAGATTTCGATAATCTTCCTAACCACCTACTTCTCTTTTCAGGGAGTGTAATACTTTTGTTGTCTAGAAAATTTCACTCTTAATCATCATCCAAAGTACTCATTAATTGTTTGAGTTCAAATGAAAAAGTCTCCTGTTATGCTGTATTTCAAGTAGATGTCTTGAAAAATGAAACTGGTTGTGCACGCCTCTTTTGAAATAGTTTGGATGACAAAGTTATTCTCACTTTTCTAAATTTTATATTAATGGGATGTGAAAGAAGAATAAGCAATTCATTGTTCACTTGCTAGCTAAAACATAAGCACGTCAAGTTTATCAATAAATGTCTGATATTTATTTAATCTTTATTAATAGGAATTTTATCCTTAGCTGATCTGGGCGAGTGATGCTGATCATAATAGTAATAATAATAATTTGCTTTATTCCAGAAACAGTACTAGTGTTACAGTGTGGAATTCTCAGCACATATCTATAATATTTGCATCTAATTTTATCAAACGCTTAAAAGGAGTATTTCGAAAAAATAAATATAAAGACAACAACAACAAAAACACAAAAAAAACACGAAAAACACAAAAATAAAAAAAATGCGAAAAAATACCAAGAAGTAGAAAGGAAAATTAATGAATAATATCTCAGTATTGGATAGTGTAAGCTATGATATGTTTATGCGTGGTGACAGTAAGGCTATAATCATACAAGAAGTGATGAAATTATATTTAAGAATGTTTATCGCTAAGATGATCAGTTAATTTGATTGAACAACACTAAGCAATCATAAAATAACATTTCAGGGTTTTTTATTGTCAGGTCTAATGCGGTGTTTGTGTTGAGTAATCCTGCACAATACAAAATTTCAGATGGTGATAATGGCGTTCACAACCAAGATTGTCAGTTAATATTGCCGAACAAAAAAACAATAGCAACCACAAAACTAATAATTACATGATGGTTAATGACAGGACAATTTTGTATTACTCATAGTGCTAATATAGTCGGAACCAGTAGATACACAAAAGAAGGAATAGAGTAAAGTACAAAAAGTAAGCCAATGTTAATAATTTAGGTGGCTAAGTATGTTTAAGAAGGTGTTCACTATAGAATACAAAATAAGAGAGAAATAAAAGAGCTTAAAATTATGTTATTAACAACAAAGCAAGTCATAGGTTTCGCACTTAAAATTGTCTCTGTCACTTAGAACACGGGCTAAATATGGTTTCGTTGAGTTCCTGTACTTGGTTGTACAAGCATATATTATTTTATACTGATTTCTGGTTCTACTATATGAGATACAAGGCGAGAGTTGGGAATAGAGGGGGTGTTAGGGGGTCAGAGAGTATGGTTTTAGACCATTTTCGCATGCATTCAGGTGCCTTTCTACTAATGTAGTGAAGAACGCATTCAGTTTTACACCACTAGTCCTACTAACTACCTTCAACATCCCTCTCAGGACGGCATAGTCCTTTTTAAGTAGCCCAGGAAAGACTAACGGGGAGCAGTAAAGTAGAATAGGTAAGATACGAGAGTTGACAAATTGTGAAAGTAGAGATTGGATGATTCCAGATTGTCTAAGTTTCTTAATGCAGTAGGTTAGACAGAACGCTCTTAGAAATCGTTGGGATATGAGATGTCCAAGTAAGGTCGGAAGATAGAACTAGACCTAGGTATTTCGCATTAGACTTAGTATCAATTTTAGTACCTTCAATGCAACAGGTTTCATGAGTACTTACTAATGTTCGTGGATCTCGTTTATGCCTAAAGGAGAAGTCAATAGTCTAGCATTTTGAGGGATTCAGCATGAGGCCATTTAGTTTAGACCACTGGCTGATGTGCGACAGGAAGCTATTTAATTTGAAGCAGTCTGACTGAGACTTAACGGGAAGCGAAACAGTCAGACCATTTGCATATTTGACGAAGTTGACTTCGTCTAAAAGGGCTATGTCATGTAAGAAGAAGGAAAAGAGAAACGGAGAGTGAACAACACTCTGAGGAACTCCAGCTTCAGTAAGCAAAGGAGAGGAAGATACACCATTATATACCGTGTGCTGCTTCCCATTAGAGAAGTAAGAGTGCAGCCAGTTGATAGCCCAGGGCTCAGTTTGTGTAAGGCTAAGCTTGTTTAACAAATGGCTTCTAGGTACAGAGTCGAAAGCAGATGTATAATCAAGCAACGTACAACGGACATACTTGGCCCTTTTGTCTAAGGAGGATACAATGTAGTGATGGAACACAGCAGCAGCGTCTAAAGTACTTCTACCCTGTTTGTAAGCAAACTGCCCTGGATCGTTTGAGAAGCTTAGGGAGGGAACAAGTTTTAGTAACAATAATTTCTCCATTAGTTTCAAAAAAGGAGAGGTAATAGCGATAGGTCTAAACTTAACACTATTACCAGAACCTGACTTGGGTACAGGGAGGATTTTAATATCTTTCCACAGAGAAGGTACAACACTATTAGAAAAAGAAGTATTGAAAATGCTTGTAAGTGGGTTACTTAAAATATTAGCACATTTTCTTAGGACAATGGTAGGTATACCATCAGGGCCTAGACTCTGGGAAGGTTTAGGAGATTCTAAACATTTAAGAACATCAGAAGTTTTAAAACTATGAAAGTCACTGGTCACGTTATTTGTTACATTCAAGCTAAAAGGTATATTAGGAGGGCGGATAAAAGATCTATTAAGAGTATGTACACCAATAGAAGGGGCACAAGTACTATGCTCACCACAACCTGTAATTTCTCGTAAAAGCTTCTACATGTTTCCTAGAGTTTTACATGGCAAAGTTCTTTGATTATAAATATTGTTTAGCCTCTTGATTTCGGATTTAATTTGGACGTTTATCCTCCTAAGACCAGATTTATCCTTCGTCTTGTACAGTCTCTCTTTTTCTCTTCGAAGCTTTTTGAGATGAGGGGAAGAGAAACGGTCCAATCTTTTGAAAAGTATCTGTTTTGGGCAGCATACATCAAGGCAGAATTTAAGATAGTCAGTCAGATTGGAAATAGTATCATCCAGTGTGTGTTCAGTGAAAAGTTCCCAGTTTGTGTCATTTAACATACGTCTTAGTTTGAGCACGTTTTCTTGTGAGTAACATTTTTGTTGTGTTTTTGTGGACAGATTTGAGAGGATATTATAGTGATATCTGCCATATATCTTAGGTAATATCCGAATAATACAATGATCAGATTTCATTATAGGAGCACGTCTGCGTGCTTCATATATTTCCGCATCATTAATAAAAACTAGATCCAGTGTTTTATCAAGTCGAGTTGGAAATTTAACAATATTGACATGACCTAATGATTCAAGGAAAGAACAATCGCAGGTACTGAAATCTCCTGTGAAAACTGATAAAGAGTTTTCGAGATGTGTTACAGCAAATGCTGTGAATTCGTCGGCAAAATCAGATAGATCCGAGGTGAAACAGACAGGAGTAACATAAATGTTTGAGATGAAGACGTATTTAAACTTGGATAAGTGTTTTGGGTGATATTTGACTGTTATATAATCAATAAAGTCACTAGAGAAAGAAAAACATACATTATTTGAAGTTGACCACTGAGAAGGAATGAAAGTTGCAAAACCTCCACCTCTTTTCTTTCCGGAGCATAGTCGATCCTGTCTAAACGATGTAAAACCATTTATAGAAACTAGGTTGTCATCATAAAGATCATTGAGTCATGTTTCTTGTAATGCAACTATTGCCGTATTGTGATAAGTATCAGATGATAAGAGAGACTGGAGATGCATAATTTTGTTGGGAAGTGAATGGCAGTTTGAACTGGTAATAACAGGAATAGTTGTGCGATATGAAGATGTTCGTTTGAGAGCATGTTGCCAAACACCATGATGTTTTCTCTTAGTTTTATTAGATGCATGAAAGTCATATTGTTTAAAACATTTAATGAATTCATTACTGTATTTGATACGATTTGTTATCATATTTTGTTAAAATTAAAAATGGAAACATGATGTATTAGATGCAAATATGTAGATGTACGGAAAGGTATTTGAGGTGTCAAACAGGCCGGCATGGTCTTAATCTTTATTTTATTTCAATCTTATATTGGTTGTGTGCTAGATATCCCTGAGATAATCCACATCGTGTGTGTGGTGTAACTAGTATTTATTGCAAGTAAATGTATTATATTATCAATAAGTAGTAATAATCGTATTGCAGAAAATAATGTATGTCGTGAAATGTGACTATTTATGTATAAATGCATATATATATATATATATATATATATATCTATGTATATATATATACTGATAACAGTAGATACAAAACGAATCACTACATAAACCATTTGCTCAAATTTTTCACTAAATATCAAGTGAATATCGTTCAAATTTATCTTTATTTGATAGTGATTGCCAGCAAGACTCTCGGAAATTGCCTTAGTTGGGTAACCAGGTCAATAAACACTGCCATCGCATTTTTGATTTAGCCGACAGGGGAAGCGCTAACGTTCGTACGTTGAGTGTAGAATATTCTGCATAAACTTACGTGATTTCGTTTTTATTCTTCACTGAAGCGTTTGAGAATCAGTAACAACAAACCTTAGCTTTTCTTCCAGCCACAGTAGACTTCACAATAGTAGTAATATCACACCAGACTAGTTATACACCTTTACTACTTGATTACTTTTCACTGGTATGATAACTCTGTTCATATCGCCTTAATTTTCTAGTTTTACTATCACTATCGTTACTTATCATTTCTCAAACTCGCATTCAGCTTATCCCATTCAACTGTTTATTTTTCTTTGTAGTGTTCGTGCCGCCTCTCACGTCACTGAGTAAAATGTACTCTCTAAAACCCATGCTTTTGTTGAATATGAACACATAAACACTTCACTCACCCAGCTAAACTCATTCATCTCACGTTCACATTGACTACATATTTTATATATTCCTAAACTATAATAAAAACTAACGGACTGTAATTCCATCTTGTGCGTTAACCACATTACAGCTCCCCAGATAATTTTAATTCACTTTCAGTGATTATTGTATTTTAACAGTAAGGGATTTGTGACAGCAGAGCTTCATGAAATTACAGATAACAGTTATTTGCTCTGATTATTATTTTTCTAAATATTTTATGGAAATATTCAAGCCTCTGCAAATCTCATATTATGTAAGCTGATTGGGTGATCGCAGTATGAAGTACATTTTATTCATTTTGACTGTTCATTTCAGAAAAAATGAAAATAAATTGCAAACCTGAAATCTATTTTCTTTACATTGTTATCTTTCCATATAATATATAAGTTGTGAATGTAAAGAAAGTGGTGCAAAAATAATAATAATGTTTCTATTCATATTTGCAAGAAAACAAAATCCTTGAGAATCATAGGACTTGAGCATAACAGAGGATATATATTATCCTAAATTATGTCTATATCCTCACGTGCATTGAAAGAAATGCTTGCAGTTAATTAAACTCTCCATGACATTGTGGAACTTCTTATTCTATATACAGTCTGTTTTTCGTAATTCCGTAGTTCCAAACTCGTGATCAGTGAGGTTTCTATGCATCCCAGTACTACAAACCATTCGCTCACTGCGCTCCATTTAAATTCTTCATATCCCTTCAACACAAATACACAAGAAAGCATGCTTGAGAAGCAAGTAAAATGACAATACGAAGTAATTTATGTATTTATATAGATGTATATAAATTTATATATAATGCACTTCGTCGCGCTGGAGCAGTTAACAAATTACTGCATGGTTGCCTCTATTGAAAGTCTTTCAAAATGGTTGAGGTTTAGTTAAGCAGTTGACCAGATTTCCTGACTGTGTCTGATACTCGCAATTAGTATTGCTGATCAGAATTATATCATTTGAATCGAGTCTGTATCTGACAGAATCTTCGATCCAGTGCATCATTTTAACCTCCATGATTGGGTGGCTTAATAGTTTGCTCGGGTGGACAATAGCTTGATGCTACGTCTATATCTACATTGATGTAGGTTTCCCTTCTTTGACAGATTGACAGGGCTACGTTTCTCTTAATCATCAGGTACCTTTCTTTCTTTCCAAATCTTCTGCATTAGTTGAGTTAGTAGGTGGTCAGCTGGGCTTTCTAGTCTGTTTTCAGTGTATTATTACATACGAAAACTTTGAATGGCTGTCTCTAGATCATTCGTAATCTTCTTCTCTCAGATCACTAAATTAACTTGTACTTATTACTTGACTTACCTGTTCATGTCGTTTTATATAGAAGACGTCTTTCGCTTCCAGAATTAAGAGTCCAAGCTGATTGAAATATACGACTGTAATATGGGAAGGTTAGACGATGTTGAAATTCACTTAGTCAAAGACACAATAAAATACTTCATCAAAGAAACATTTACTCATTTGAAATATCAACATAGTCAAATGATAAAATACGAATTCTACAAATGAACATTTTAAATTTGACCTGTTCTGTAACAAATAGAATTAACAAAGCTATGGTGTGAAACCGAATTTACAACTCAGGACTTCAAGCAACTTTTGTTGGTACTCTGTCTATCTAATCTACTCTCATTAACAAAAACGCCTCAGCTGAACTTAACACCGAATCACTGACATTAATCATTTCATGACTAATTTGCTCTTCAGAAAATAACACTGACTCTTGACAGTTCGATCTGAGGAGCAGCAACAAAACAATTTGGAATCATCACTGAAATTTTGAGAAGCAATAGATTTTTGAAAAGAAGTCAGATCATTAAAAGTGTACAAATTATGATTCGCAGTTAGCAGAATTGCAACATCCTCCTGAAATGAGAATGTCTATGAGTTCCTGGTTAGTATACATAGCTTGTTTGCACTACTATAATTTTGCTTTGCAAAAAACATTATCTGACGACTGGTGAAATTAATTTATATAAATATTAAAATAAAAATACTCTCTTCGAGTGTGACTCACAAAAATATGCACCAAGAATCATCTGGATCCAAACAATTAATCTAGCCAAGAAAAACCATATTCGTGGACGGATAGAATATGAAACAAGCAGAGCACCCAGTGGAATCGAAACCAGGTGACAATAGAAATTCAGTAGAGATAAGTGATAATGTGTATGGTTGTCAGTTTTTGACTATAAAACAAATGTGTTATTGCATCATTCAAAAACTAAGCACACACTGCATGACAATGAATGAAATGTTAATGCATATATGTTTATATAACAGAAAGCCTAAATGATACTAAACTCTTTGTGATGTGAGCGAACACCCTAGAGAGAACCCTACCTTCGCACTTATTATTATTAGCTACATGGTGTAGTATGTGATTCATTCCAAAATTCATTTGAAAGTAGCAGAACGATGAAATCATTGTCATTCGAGTAAATTTGCGTTGCATGAAAACTTTGTTCATTTAAGTAACACCAGCTCTCTAATGATGTGTCAAGTGAATCATATATCTGAAACACATCTAACACAAATAACAGCTTATCATCAATAAAAGGCATTCAGAACACAATGAGCACTGTGGCTTTCAACTTTGGCGCTGTAAAAACTGCTAAACTTAATGTTTAAGCTTCTCCTGTTGTTGGATTCTCCAATCTGTGGGAGAGTGGTTCTGGATTTTATCCGTTGTATTTACATATGTTAACAAATGATCTGAACGTAAGAGTGATATCAGTTACTGTAACAGATGCACACATATTCTTAGCGATAAAAAATTTCAAAGTGCTGTAGTAATATTTTACCTGCTTGTGATTTTAATCATCTTAAGGTTTTCTGCAGCTTAACATTTGGAAGTCAAAGATCCGGACACGACTTCCAAACAGGTTGACTTCTGATAATCTAGTCGTACATAATTGGCGAAACCAATAACTCCTATTTCACTATTAAGTGGTGAATTTCATTATTTCAGTTAACTTGTCCACTTGAAAGCACTTGGATAAGCGGTTTTACAAAGAAGACATTTGTGTGGTCAACTATCTCTAGATATCTAAACTCAAACACATTTTTGTCGATACTGATAAAAATAACTGGTTCTGATCGGACCATTTATAGGCACATTTAGTCGCTTGTTCACTCCACTGACAAACTACTGGTCCCATTAGACCGCACTTTTTATCCATAGGCGAAACATTATCTGGCTACTTAAAATATAATATCATATATCATAATCAAAATAAAATGAGTTCCACTTACATCAATTATGGACAATGCTATGATGGATATGCCTGATATTGTGAAAGTTATTGGTACGATGATGCATAGAAGTCCACTAACCGTTGGCCAAGTATTTCCCTCTGCAAGTCTTCTTCTCATCATTAAGTACCAAAACCACTGACTTATAATATCTAAATTGAAAATGTATTCTATTTGTATGAGCGAATAATTATCATTACTTAAACATTAAGAACCTATGAAAGACAAATTATCATTTATCTGTGATTATTTGGTTAGACAGAAGTCTCCAAAGGGTTAACTCAGTATGAGGATCTTCTGGAGATAGACACAATGAATAGTGAGAAAGTAATGTCAGTCGCACTAAAGGTTTAAGATTTTAGTCACCAAATTTTAATAAAACGGATGAAATGTATGGAATGTGTCATGGAATAGTAATTCTCTGATCTCAATTACTCGGAGAACAAGAGTGAATATCGATAAAGACCGCCAACTTAGATCGGTGCACCCTGAACTTTAAAGCCTACTCAGGCAAAATAATTAAGACTGATGAAACCAGTTGAGTTATCGCATGCAGCTACATAAATCACCATCATCTCTACTAATATATCCTCTAAGAGAGTGTACATTGAAACGCTGATCCAAATAGAAGATGTAACTCCAAGTGAAATACTTTCACAATCTCGTTTCTCACTCATCATTTCCATTCATCTGCGTGTTTTTCAACTAGTGGCGACGCAGTCAAGTATGAGTTAATTTGCAAATAAATCAGCTAATCACTGTTGACGTGTTTAAGTAATAATACATACGAGACAAAACAATTGTACATCACTATCAGCAGAGTTGTTTCACTTCGTATCAAGTAGTTTACATTTGCATAAACAAATGTAAGCACTTTCCATCCAGCTGAAAAGATTCCTTTCAGAGATAAGAATTGTGCACTGATTTATCTAGGTCAGTTGATATATTTTTAATTAAGAATAATTTTTTTAATAAATCCATCTTGAACACATTGTTGTAAACATTAATGTAAACCACATAATTAGAAGGTCATAATTTTCTTCTGGGTTAACTAGATAGGTGTGTGTCCAACTCAATTATCGATTACTTACATAGAAAATGCAATTTAACATTTTATTTACTGCTTAGAATATTTGAGCAATGCAGCTTTTCATAACTTTGTGAACTACGTGATTACATACTTTTGTTCGATGGCCACATCGTTAAAATTCACTGAAGAATTCCAATTTAACTGGTGAACGACATAATATTGTCTCACCATTATCTGTCATGTCTCAAAATGGTATGTTCATCTATCTATCTATCTTTATATCACCGATCAATATGTATATTCATCTGTGAATGATTAATTAAAAATTTTGTACCAAGCCAATCCACCTCATTCCAATCTATCGTAATTGATTCAACGAAGTCTCCTATAACTATTAAACTAAGTATTTTGAGTCCTAGTAATGGACAACGCAGATATAGTTTATCAGTAAAGTGTATATTCTACATAAAAGTTTGATGAGCTTACTTAGTACTCCAAATAATCCCATTGAAAACATGAAAATATATTTTTCCGGTGGATATAAACCAAGAGAGCTGAACAAAAGAAAATGGACCTTTAAGTGTGAAGAGATTGTGTATAGTGAAAGTATCTTATTGTCTGTGAAACAAACCTCATTCTAAGGTACTCTGCACCCAATGTATGTTATTATGCATATGCATGTAAACATGTTACATTGAAGGAAAAAACTGAATTGGCTACTTGTAATTTTCATAAAGACATTTTTAAACAAGTAAACAGAAATGCTCAAATTCAAAGTGACAAAATTACATGTGAGTGCAGAGAAACGAGATGAATGCCCTAGATTGTGAGCTAGTAGTCCACTCATCATCACCAGCACACAGTGAAGCGAGTGGAAACATCAAAGGCAATGTCATTCTCCCAAACCTAACCACTATGGTTTATTGGCGGATATTAGACACAAAGACATTTCTAATCACTTCCATCTAATCGATCCTAAAAGATAATATCTTATTTCTATTTGTACATCCAATGTATGACACACTAGAAAATCCTTATTCTGTTCCAGCCTTAGAATGCAATACATTTGTTTAGTTAAACAAGAGAAGTTGTGAATTTGTGGTATTCATTTGTTACCTGACAAACAACAAAACTATCGTTTTAACGATGTGAAACGTACACCACATTATGGTTTGTAGATATTGAGCCTTGTATGTCATTCTTTCTGCTGTTAAAACTGTTGGTCAAACTAGCAGATCAGCTTTATGATAAGGAACTACTGTCCCTAACTACTTCACAAAAGCTATGCAACATTCAGTTTGTTTCTTCTCTCCTGCAGTTTAGATATACATAAATTGGAATTTGAATAATTGGTTAGACAAGAAACATAAGGAGGATAAACAAGCAGTCATTTACATATTATCCTGACAAAATATATGTCGACTGAGATGGAATCACAACTTGACTATAGGATAACTCCCTAGGTGAGTACTAGTAAAAATGTCAAGCAGTTATCTTAAAGCAACATAAATTATTTAAAATCATTCAATCTGACTCGGTGAACAAATTATTCCAGGAAATTCGTAACATACACGATCTGGAAGCACTTCTAATATAAGGTTGTTTGTTCGATTTCTGAAGAAATTTATAATTTCAATTCAACTCCAGTGGTTACGCTCTCTGTTCTCTTTGGACGAATGATGGACAGTTTTCTAGTATGAATGGCAATCTAGAAACTTAAGCAAAATCTATTATCATTCACATCATACAGACCCTAAGTAGAACTACTGATCAACAGTTACACCACGTGTGTTGCTAATTACAATGGAGTCAGTAAATTTCCTAACCTCGCCTAGTTAACTAAACCGCCAGTTTTTTAGCAAGTTACAAGCCCGGCGAAATGGATTGAGACATGCTACTGTGAATCGAAAAACCAAACCTATTTATACAGAAATTTCAACACACAACAAAAATATTGATAACCAACTTCTTCTTCACTACAATCGGAGAGATAAAGTGACGTGGATTGGTGGAAGTCATCAAGGAGACGGTCAGCAGATTTGTCTTCCCTCTCGTGATGGAAGGGAGAATAAGAGTTGAGACATGCAATGTACGTAGAAGGAACTATTGCGCGCAGGCTGCCCAGGTAGCCAAAGGAGTGAGACAATATTGCATAAATGAGCTGGGCATCTGCTAGACCAGATGAAACGCATGAGGACTACCGAAATTTTCAAATGATAAATCAGTAATCCACTCCAGTTTCGTCGCCCAGATGGCAACCACACTGAGGCAAACACCACCATCACCAGTACCATCAACTAAAGCAACATCAACGAATGCTATTATGAGGTGGGAATCAATCTCCTCATACAGGATCATGACAGCAAGATGATACGCACAGTGCTACAAACAACTCAGAGAAAGAGAAGAAGGAAGATTTCTATAGACAAACGCAAACAGTAATGGACAACATCCCGAATGGCGACATCAAAATTCTGATGGGCCGTATGAATGCAATAGGAACATGGAGCAGACCAGATTGAAAGAGAACTGATGATTGGTCGATAGGTCCTCTCTCGGCGAAATGAATGAAAATTTGAGTGCATTGGTTGAGGATCGAATCCAAGACCACATGCGTGATCGAGGAACATCCTACCGCTGTGCCACCGACAGACAGTAGAAATAATACCATGTAATACCTGTGAGGCCAATTACATAAGTCAGACTACTATATCAGAGTCAACTAAGTTATTAGAACAAAAACATTTAGCTAGACTTAGAAAGAGAGCAAACATGTACGAGACAAACTGTGAGACAGTGTGACTAAAATTGATATTATTATAAGCAACAATTTATTCTCGAAACGTCCTCCAGTTGTTGGTACTGCGTCACTGTATGATAATTATTAAAATAAGCATATCCAATGTGAAATTACATTGTATAACAGTACCAAAGTTAAACACTTACATTAATAAGAAATATGAATGAAATAGATATGGTATTGGGCTTATGCGAAGAGCTTATAATACCACTCAAGATGAACTCTCAGCTAGAATTCCGAAATCTTTACCATTCAATAAGATAAACCATTCAGAAAATAAAACCGTCCAAAGCATCTTATTCTGCGCTGCCATAACTTATCCTAACATCGTGTAAAATAGCTTTGTATGAATGCATAATATTATATCTATGATTTGTGAAAATGCAACAATGTACCAAACCCTTTAAGGTTTGTAGCACTACAAACTGCACAATAGATCCAGAAATGGTTGATGCTTGACTTGAAGATGTCTTGGCAAGTCGTTTGCCTTCTTAGCATTTGTTTTTCCGCCGACTATGTCTGAAGAAATACACAAAACATCACTTAGATTGGATTCAATTTTTCCGAAAATTCACAGCTAGGAGGGTCACATGAGTTACCAGGACAACTGAAACCTCAGCTGCCTACCTGCATACATACATAAATATAATCTTCACTCACCTCACGTATGGAACAACTGGTTGTATATGATCATAAGAAATTGCAATAAAATACCTGAAATGAAATAGGCAGATAAATATCGTGCAAATACTCACTTCAAACTCTCGCTACTTACCTTTAGATAGTAGGAAATATGTTACCTTCAAAGTGTCATTTGAAATTATTTTTTGATTTCGTGGGGTGACGCGCTTCGATTGGAAATAAATGTCATCGACTTAGGTCAATATCTTTAATCAGTGTGAGGATGGATGTCCCACCGACGACATTGGTTGGGGTCGCTCTAAATCACGAAATGGTAGAAGTTAGAATTCATGAACCATTGAACCGGGTCCCAGTGGCAGAATGCTATACGTGCTTGTCTTGTAGCCGGAAGGTACTGGGTTCGAACCACAGTGCGTGCGTACTGCCAATGATTCCCAACCTAGAATGAAACAGCTGTCCAGTACTCTCTGGTCTTCAGTGGTTCTCTAACTGATATCAATCCGTGATGAACTCGTAAAATCAGCTTACAATAAGCAAATATTTATCGGTTGAAAAAAAGTGACTCAACGAATTTTAGCTTGGCAGTCAAACTACTCATACACAGAAACGATTCGTTGAATTGCTCATTGCTGCTTATAATTTCCTTTATGCTGTCGGTGACTTACATTTAAATGCTGTTACGAAAAATAAAGCCTACTGATTTATCGAGTGTTTCTGTTTACTAAAAATTGAAAAATGTAAACGCTTTATGAATACACAAAGGAAAATGCAACCAAGTAAACAGTAGTCTAATTCAAAATCCATTTGTACTCACGATACTGGTAACCAAAACAAAGCGTGAATGGCAGCAAACTGTGGTATACGCGATGGATAAAACTTAGGCCACTCCATTAGGAAAAGCAGTTGTATGACAAACTACTGGATATTTCTACATATGATAAAGAAAAAGAAGAGAAATAAACACACACAAATTTATTAATGTTAGTGAACATTGTTAGTGTTATAACGGCTTATTAATCTGTTATCAGATTTCAAAAATCTAATTCATTACTGACCCCGGATATAAACTATCCTTATGAGACGAAAATTATTGCAACAGCGTAAAAAGGGGTTTTGTCTTTCAGAAATGCTGCGGAATTTTCTCACTTCAGCTTTTGTGGTGAATTTGGCGCTTCAGAAGAGTCAGTTGTGACCTAGATTAGTCTAGGCGCTATTAAGAATTGTTTAGTGGCACACAAAACCTAGCACTTGCACAACAATTTGGATAGACGAATGTCACACTTTCATCCATTCATTAGCAATAAACAGTAATTTGAAACACAGGCTCTTATGTTACTTCTAACACCACTCGTACATTAATACTATGAAGCAAACACTGTACTTACAGGAAATGATCGCAAAATGCAAGACTTCATTTCGAGCGACGTGGATGATTCCACAAACACAAACAAGGAAATATCACGCACAATCAAACCTTTCATATGCACTATACACCACGTGCGGTTATCTCAGATATCTTATCCGAAGATTCAATTAATAAAGATTGGTTGAAGTAGGAACGCCGCTTCAATCCACTGTCAGTGTTAAACGATAGTAGAAAGACTTCATACACTATATTGTTACTCGAGGCTTTTTGAATAACATATTTCAAAGGCTGACAAGACTTTTGAGGGTGATAGCTATCAGTGTATGTTTCAAATGCTCAACCATGTTCGTGTAATTTCACATACTTCAAATGAAAACGAATGCAGCTACTTATAGTAAGCGTCGTTAGTAATGACAGTTTGAAATCACTTGAATAGTTCGTCTACAACATGAATGAAGCGTGGTCTGTTTCAACGGAATTAATTTGACGTTGCTTTTAAATATCCTTCATAATGCGACTACAGTCTATATTTTCCTGGCATTTCTGAATCCCTTTGACTGGCGGAGCCATCATCTCGTTGATGTATGTCAGCTTTATTTTGAATGAATGAATTCAACAGCCCAAAATAATTTTTGGTCAACATATTCAGTTCATGTTGCCGTATACATCTAGCATCTTATTTAAAATTAACATATTTGGACATTGGATGGCATAAGAGATTTGTAAAGTGAAGTTTATCAATAATTGAAGAAAAATATCATGGGAAATTCATTATTCGCTTGAAATAATTTATAAATTGCGTGTATAAATTAGTTCTACTGAGAAAGGACCTTCCGAATTGAGTTTGCTCAAATTCTTACTTGTTTAAGTAGTTTTCAATCAGTCTTATATATAAATACCGTATGGATGTTGTCTTCATGAAACCCCGTTATCTGCCTGTTCATATTTTGGAAACCAGCAATTGTTCATGATATGGAGATCCACATTTAGTCTGTCGATTGACACTACCTTTCTTTAGATCAAACCACCAATTTAAGATTGCTTTTATGATGAAGCAGTTGACGTGCTCGGGAATTCCACTTTTCTCTCTCGTTATGTGTTCTCTCTCAATCCGCGATCACCGTAGCCTTACAAGTCGCTCAATTTAATGTCAAGCAGGTAAATTAAGGAAAATATAAGAGTGGAGACAGGTATGCATAACTCCTCGAAGCTGGACACATTTCCTTAACAATACATGCAAATTATGCAGTTGCTTATGCGCTCAGAAATTTCTAGTCTCGAATCATTCCAAGCTACCTCGGCTGTAATAGTTCCTTCAGTAGGTGGAATTTTTAATAAATTCCATTGTGATCTTGATGTCAATTTTAAGTCTGAAACTTGATTGAGACGATATGATAACAATTTCAGAATAGATTTTGATGGCGAAGATGATTACTGGAATGTGCGTCTCCCACTTTGAAAACCGGGTTCATCTTGAGTTGATCAATATTTTAATATATTTCCGCCTCAAAGCATACTCGATCGCACCTTTAACGCTACACTACAGACATTCAGGCAACGCTATGGGGATCACTCCCTGCTCTTTAACTCCTGATGTCGCTGTCTTAAGCCAGGCATGGACAAGAATGATGAATTTCTCACTCTTGTTCATATCATTAACCGATTTGAGTTGAAATCCTTGACAGACGATCAATTAATTTCAATGATACTCATCTGTGGTCCATTGTCACCTAGATTTGTTAGCATCAGAATGACGTTATCTAGTAGTCACTAGCAATACCCGACCATAACGCTGAATAACACCCCTGCTGAGCATCAAGGACTGACACACCCCCAGCACGACACACTTTAATACAGTCAGGATGCTAGATACTAGAACCAACTACGATGGCAAATGCCTCCCGATAAAAAGACAACACGCAGTGGTATCCCACTAGATATACCATTGGATGCATTAACAATACAACGCGAAAAATGCCTTGGTGGCCAATGGCAGCAAAGTATCACCATGCTGAATTCGATCAGCCGGGCACAAGAAACAGAATATGGGCTTTCATGTTGCCCCCACTCCATTCTGAAAGGGGAAGGTGATGTGGGGATCTATATTCAAATCAATACATTACTAATACTATGTAATAGTTGACATGGGTGTGAATACTTGTTCCCTCCCTATCGTCGTGTGTTCTCTCTCAATACGTGATCACCTTGACCTTACAAGTCATTCGATGTATTATCAAGCGTACAGCTTAAGAAAAATGTAAAAGTTTATTATGAACAGAAATGGCGTTTATTTATGTCACAATCTGATTTCGTTTAGTTAGTAATATAACGGGAAAAGGAATGTATGATAGACATCGTACATCATCGAAAATATTAAGACTTTTGTCTGAAGCAGCTTTATAGCTCATTGAATAATGTGAAGTAAGCAACGTTTAGTACTGTTAAATAACATAAGCAACTCTTACGTCTGGTCACATTCTTAAATGAAAGAGGTACAATTTTCAGATTCCAAACATCAGGATGTATATTAATCAAACCATCGAATAATACTAACGGACACTATTTTGAGTAATCAATATAATTCATATGTTTTCAGCTCACCTGGTTACTGACAGTTACAGTTCAATAGTCTAAATGATAAATATATTCCACTTTTGTTAGTGAACCGACCGTATACACCTAGTCTAGAACTACAACAAAAGCGTTCATTTATACAATGGTGTAAAGATTTTAGGCCAATTATAAATAAATAATACTCAGTATTCAGCTGTATCACATAGAGCATACTAAGGCATTCATTGATCAATAATTTATTATCACAAATGAATCATAAAATTTGACCAATAATATCAGTATTCAACAGAAAATGCACAAGTTAACCTACTTTTGCTTTTCTGCAGTGACATGCAATACGAAACAGGTTTCATAAGTAGATTTTTAAAGCATTTGTTGTTAAGAAATGAATGTTTTCTTGTCTTTGGCTTTGGTAGTTACGTTGAAACCAACACGAGAGTGTTTGACAAGTTTCCTGTGAATCAAATAATCTTCAAAAACTTACTCCTTAGGGTAGTTAAGAAGGTACTGTCGACAAGTCCAGAGGTGAATTGAGACAGTTGCCCCGTCAGTTTCTACGCTTCTTCTGTGTGATATCACCACATGACTGAATTAACCGCATGATCAGTCAAATGTCTACAAATTGAACGACTTTTTGTTCTGTTGGTAAAAGTTAAAACTCGGACAAATTTTATCTGAATTCTCGCACTATAATTTCTTGCTTACCTGCCTTTAAAATGAAAATCTGTTCAGTGTTTAAGACTTTCCTTCTTTCTTGATCAGATATACCTTTGCTTCTTATTCCATGTACAAAGATGGAATTGTGCATATTAGGCGTGTTTGCTTTATTGATCACACAGGGATTCACCATATTTTAATGTAAAGCAGGTAGATCAGTCCAGAATTTAACACTGAACTGAATTAGTTTGAGCTATCACACTACTAAGTAGAACGATTATTAACAATGGGCAGGTAAACTGATATAAAATCAAACTAACGTTTGCATATAGAAAGATAAAAAATCTCATCAGATTTTGGAAAGAATATTCACCATTTCCAAGATGATTAGAAGAGAACAGAGTTATTCGAGTTTTATCAACTTCTATATGTCACAGAAAGGCTCTCCATCAATTAGTTCATGCTTTCATTTGCGAAGCACACTGGAATTGTTTTAAACAGATTCTCAGTGATGTAATTTGACTTGAAACTCATGTTATTCTAGGACATTCTCAACATCAGTGGTTTGAATAGTTATAAAATTAGTTCTTGATATCTAAATGATTCTCAGCATGCATTCCAATGCATTCATTAGAGTCCAAACCAAAAGTTAGAAAATGCATTTATTTGGCCTGTTTTACTCTGACTAACTGATTCACTGTTTTACAAACGTTTTTGTGTTTCCCAATAAATGAAAAGCAGATCGATGTTTTTTTTCTGTGTTTTTACTGTTAAAAGTGAACTTGGTTTTGACATATGTAAATTAATTAAAAACCTGATTACTTTATCGAGAAAACAGCCACCACACTCTACCTTTGCATATCAGATCTATAGAAACACTTCACTTTTAGAAAATGTCATTACTTCTCGTCATGCAGTACCAGCAGAGACTCCATTCATTCATACATCAAGTAAGATCCGGGCAGTTCAAAAACTGTTCGTTTACACCTTATTCATGAAGCCGAAATGTTAACTTTCCAAAATGAAAATCCTGAACTTGGTGTTCAAAAACACTTTATCAAACCTCGTTTACTACCATGTCTTTAGTATCAGTTGTATTTCTTTGACTGGTTGTATAACAAACTCTGTCATCTTTCTACTTTTTGTTTTTCCGGGACCCACTTTCAACTTTTCGCTCTCGTTCCCTCTTAATTATTTCTAAGTGACTATTCATCACCTAACTAACTGGTCGCTGATCTTCTCAATTGTGTGAAATTATTCACTACCCTTCACAGATTCTTATTTCTCATAGACG